AGGAGGTTTCGCGGTGGGAATTACTGAAAAAATTGAAGACCTGATTAGTGTCCTGTTCATACCTATAGTAAGTATTATCTATTTTTTTTTTTAAAAAAAAAATCGTAAAAATTTTACTTACTTTCGTATATCTTGTATATTAATGTCACATGATCGGATTTAATTACTAAAAATATATATATTTATCTAATTTTTTTAAAGTATTTTACACTATCCGGATTAAAAACCGACATTGGTGACCTGGGTTCTACAGGATGGGGTTGGGTGATCGTGGTCATCTTAGTTGCTATGGTTGGCAAAATTTTTGGTTGTACTATTGCTGCCAAAGTTTCTGGATTAAATTTCAGAGAAGCTTTAACGGTTGGAATTTTTATGAGTTGTAAAGGGTAATTATTAATCTAATATTTAATAACACTAATAATAATGTTAATTCCTTTAATACTGACAATGTGTGAATTCCTTATATATAATATAGTCTTGTAGAATTAATTATTCTCAATGTTGGTTTTGACGCAAAAATTATAAATGTTAAGGTTTTCTCAATCATGGTTGTCATGTAAGTGCTATTATTTTACTATTTATATTAACAAGAATAAAATCATTTATAAATATACACGTTTAATAAAATGTATAACTATTCGTGTTGATTTATGCAGGGCTCTCACAACGACATTCGTCACAACTCCACTTGCTACTTATTTGTACCCTATTCAATACCAAAGGAAAATGGAACGCAAACGCGCTAAAGAAGATCTTGAATCACCTGAGGATTTACCACATTCAAAACATCTCAGATTGTTGGTTGTATTGAGCAAAGTTGAAAATCTACCAGCCATGATAACTTTTGTACAACTTTTACAACCTAACAAGGTTGATTCTCCCAAATCTCCTTTAAAAATTTCCGATGAAAATTCTGAGCCAGATACAACTAAAGTTATTAGACCTATGAATGTTCATGTTTTACGTTTTGTCGAGCTTACGCAACGTATGTCAGCGGTTATGAAGTTTAATGAAATTTCGGAAACTATTTTACATGATCCGATCATGAATACGTTTTCTGCACTTAGTCATGTTAGTTCGGTAAAGGTCGATGCCAAATTATCTGTTTCTGCTCAAAAGGACTTTTGTCAGGAAATTACTGATAAGGTACAGGATGCTGACATTAATCTAGTAATACTTCCATGGAGTGGTGCTGGTGAAATAGTAGACACGCCAATTGAACATAAAGATCATGCACCGCGCGAGAAAAAAAGCACAAGTCCACAGGTTGCAGGTTTTGTTCAGGACGTTTTTAATGCGGCAACAGTTTATGCAAACGTAGGAGTGTTTGTGGATCGTGGCTTTGGTAGCACTGACAACACACGTGCACTTCCTAATCCTAGTGGTTATCTTAATATTTTTGTACCTTTCTTTGGTGGTGCTGATGATCGTGAGGCACTCACTTTCACTTTTAGATTACTTGAATATCCAAATGTCAATATAACTGTAGTGAGAGTAATAAAATCTGAAAAACCTACCGACAACGATGTCACTTTATTAAAATCTGATGCCCAATCCGAGATTAGCAATGTAGATGACGAAAAAGATCGACCTCCGCTTGATCGACAAATTTCAACCATTTCTATTAGTGAAGCTGTAGCACATAAGGAAAGTGAAGAGGATGAATCATTTTTAGAAACGCATTTAAAATCGAAATCTGGATATCCTGCACAAAATGCACGTATTAGTTACCAAGAAATTTCTTCTTATACACCAATACAAACTGCTGTTGAACGTGCCAAAGAAATTGTCAACAGAAAAGATTTAGTTGTTGTAGGGCGTAGTCGTCATTCTCATGCGAATGAACGTCATCACCATTATGAATTTAGGGAATTAATTAAAAATTTAGGAAATTATGGCAACGATACACATAAATCTTTAGGCTATGTTTCCGAAGCATTTTTAGTTGGAGGTGTTATGGCAAGTCTTTTGGTGTTACAAGCAAAGCAAACAAAATGAAAAAAAAACCAGTTGATTAAATAAGATGTATGTAGTTGTATTAGTTGTTTAGAGCTTGGATCGGAGATTGTAATACAAAATTCATCTCAGATTAGTCAGAATTATTATTTATTATATAGCTTTCTATATTCCTTAACTGTTATTCCCGATCCGAACTTCATTTTTTTTTTTATTGTTGGTGTGAGAAGTGGTTAGCCATTGATTCAATACAATTAGTTACTGAGTAATTTCTTCTCGGCCGGCAACAAAAGCAACTATAGCACGAAACAATCCTTGACATGGGGCGAATTGAATTTGGTCAAAATAATCGAGTTGAAAAAAACGAGGAAAACGAGGCAGGCAGTTTAACATGATGTTCCAAGTTCATTAATAAAAATTCTTATTTAATAAGCCCCGGGCATAAAAGTTACCTAGCCCATAGGAAAAAAGTATCATATGTAATTTTCATATGATATAGTGGACTTGTGAACGATGATGGATTTGACTACTAACACTAATGCTAACATGATAAACAACATAAATACAAGATAAATTCTAATTGACCCATTACTAACTTTAACATTAAATCTGATACATGTAAATACAGGGTATAAAAATCACAAGTTTAATCATTACGTTCTCTAACTTGTCGTTATTGAATCTTTGATTGAATGAATCGCATATCTTCACGTGAATACGAGATACTAAGAACATTGAATCCAGGGAAATCGTAGTATTAAATTTTATTTTGTTTAGTAAAAAAATTAATCAATCCATCGATTAACAAATTTAAGAGCTTTGGTTCATATATTAGGGTGTCAAGGATTCTTTCTTTCTGTACACACATTTTGTTTAGGTCTACAAGATGAAAATTATAAAAGTGATGGCAAACGATCTATCATCATATAATGATAATTCAAAATGATTAACTTGATCATTGAAATTAAAGGCTTTAAAATTAATGCTAAAAATCTGTAGAATTCATCTAACCCATCAAAAATGCAAATAGGTTGAGTGGTTTATGAATAATCTTATTCGTGAGTTACTCGGTCAATATGTATGCTTAATGGTTTGATTAAATTCTCTGGGTTCATAGCAAATGTAAGTCTTTATATTGATATGATGGTACACCCTAGTTGGTTAGGATAATGCCACACAACATATGTGCATTTTTAGTCCCGGCTATAACTTTGGGTTGCGAAGATTGAACGCTATCGCTATATACACTAGGAAAACTGTCACCTCATAATACCTTTTACCTGATGGTCAATGCTAATTTGATGAAAAGAATTGGATAATTAGTTTGACTTGCCTCTCCATAGAACGTTCTTCATTCCATTCTGACAATTAGGCCGAAACTCAAATATCAATAATGGCTGGGGATTAATAAGAAAAAAATAATGCTAAACTACCTTATTACAGTCAACTCTACGAATTAAAAGATTCTGGAAGAGAAGTTCGTTATAGAAAATTACTATGTTTTCTTAAGAACCTTTATACTGAACTATTATGAAATTTAATATCCAGAGTTCGTTATAGGAAGGTTTGTTATATCCAGAGTCGACCAATATTTATTAAGGCATATTCGCGTTTTATACGCTTCGATTCAGAATTTACTATCGCGATAATTCATATTTATACCGTATTAAAAAAATCACTTTTTAATCAACATTATAATTATTATCGTCTGATTTATCAAATTGTAAAAGAATCGAATTTGCATGCAAAATTAATCCATTCAGTATTTTTTTTTTTCTCTGTTATCGTTTATTGTTATGTTTTCGGAAAGTTAAGTAATGAATAACTTGTGCGTATGTAGTTTTTCAAAATTAGCACAGTCAACCCTCGTTAATATCAACTCTCGTTAATATCAACCCACGTTAATATCAACCCACGTTAATATCAACCCGTTCTGATTAGACAATTATATACGAGAGTTGATAACAACGGAATAGTTTTTACATAGCCTGAACCTATTTGTTTTTAATAAGAGGTTGATATTAACGAGAGATCGATACGTATTAACGAAGTTGAGGGTTGACTGTAGTTGAAATTAATTTTCACATTTGTTAAAATTATTACCGAAGTTACACTTGTTAATATCAACTTAATTAATATAAACTTCTTGTTAATAGAAACTAAAAAATAAATATAGTAAAACATTAAATAAACTATAACTAAAATTGTATATACCGTAAAATCTCGAAATAGCGGGCATGGGCGTTATTTCGAAAATCGCGTCCCCTAAAAATAGCATATGTAGATTCAAAATAACGCCCATGCGCGCGTCCCAAAATAACGCGCACCCCACTATTCTGTATTTTGAGAAAAACAGGTTCAAAAAATAGGGATGTTAATGAGTACGTTCGGTCCAACCCAGTTCCGGTTCTTAAAAAGTCCGGATCTAACTTAGCAGTTTAAAATACAATATAGATAATTTTG